CTGCAGCTAGTTGTTTGCTTTCTGCCAATTTTAAATTGGTACAATCTTATAAAAATACTGACAGGGGATATTATACAAAAAGCTCCATAAAGGAGTTTAAGAAAATGAAAGATGCTGGAGTTTACTCTTATCCCACCTCCCGAATCAAACAAATGTCTTTTTTTTTCGCTTGGCAAATTCTTTTCAGGTAAGTTTAATTCCCCCCCCCCCCCCTCGACCCTTTCAAAATCGTTTCTACGTCAATGCTATGACTGCAATTCTGTGAATAAGAGATTTTATGAACATGAACAAATCAACTTTATTTAAATCATGGGGGATTGAATTTCTAAAATATATATTGTTTATAAATTTGTTTATTAAAGGTGATTTAATCTAAAATAAAAAAAAATATAATACGTTTTCCGTTCCTCGTTTAAGCAACACCCCTCTAGAACCCTAATCATTTTTCATTATTTTATCCATTTCAATATTAGTATGTAAATTGTGGAGAGGTGGATGGGGTTAAACTACACTCGTAATATGTATATTTAATATCCTGAGTGACCTTGATCGATTGACACGCCCCCTCCCCCAACTGTTTTCAGTGGATACATATAACATTTAAAAAAAATCAATTTATCTCTGTCTGCAATGGTACATGTATTAATAATACCATTATGGTTATTCAGAAAAATTATCAAATATTAATTTACACAGCCTTATACAATTTTATTAATAATGTTATGAAAATAATTTTGGCAAAATTTGCCGTTCCCGGACACGAAGTCCGTACCTGGACACTAAGTCCTAGTCTTAGAGATTCCTGAAGCAGATCGGAACCTGACTTCAGATACGGCAACCCCTGCCGTCCACAGACACGAAGTCTGTATATGGACACTAAGTCCGAGCTCTAAGACTTCCTGAAGCAGGACACCAGACACCCAGAGTCACTACGCTGCCACCAATTTTGTAACGTGAAGCGGTCACCCATCCAAGGGTTAAACAAGCTCGCCGTTGCTTAACTTGCCTGGACGGAGACTCTACCGCATCATCAGAAAAGCTAGCTCACTGGCGAGGCAGTACAAGTTCCCTATACAATGTCTGCTACACATATAATACTTTTTTATCATGTTTATAGCAAGTTTTAAATTTTTACTACTTTGTACTGCAAACTAGCAAAGTTTTGGCTGCAGTAACGACTCATATTTTCTTGGGGGGGGGGGGGGATTGTACCCTCCCCCGATTAATATTGCCAATATTTATCGTTGAGGGTCCTATATCGGTCGGGTACCTAAATTGTTGGCATCTCCTTTTGAGCTGATGATTTTTAATGTGAGGTCTGACTTTATCAATATATGAATGTTACGTAACGCAGTAGTTTAAAGTATGTAATGTAAAATAAAAAATATTCCTAGGAATGACGGTGTTTGGTTATAACTCAAAAACACACTAAATTTATGAAACCTAAACAATTTACATGAAGATTTAAATTACAAATTATTTTTGAATTTGTTGAAAGTATGCAATCAAATACCTGTTTGTATTCTTATATTTTCTCAAATGATGACAAAACAAGTTGCTAAGACACTAAGAAAACTACGTGCATTTATATTGAAAATACATGATTTTAGTTAGTCATTCCTCCATGATTTTTCGATCCCTCGCTTATTTCATTATTACATGTTTCATATGCGTTTTTCTTTTCCTTTTCATATTCTGATTATGTATATCATATACTTGTCCTCTGACCTGAATTTATATGTTGTAAATATTCTTCATTGTCCTCATGTACCTGAAATGGTTTGAGTGAATAAAATGATCTTGAACTTGAACGGGGCCAGGTGCCTACAACAAAATATCAAATGTATATTTTGATTAAAAATATGTTATTATTTGATTTAATTTCCTATTCAATTGTACTTACTAGGAAAAATTTTGTATCTGTTAAATTACCATGAAATACATGTAGATTCCCCGAGGACAGAACCCTATAGAAAACATACCTACTACATGTATATGCCCCAAATAAAAAAAACCAAACATTTGATGACCTATTATTTTATTTTGTTACTTTCTATGGAATTCTTGGTATTTTTTTGTAGTTGATAATGTAGGTTGTCCCCCCTCCCCCACACTGAAATTGCTTCCTATGGGCCTGTTACATGTATTTGTTTATTCAAGCTAAATTGTTATTTTTTTACATTCAAATATATTAAAATAAGTTTTCCCTCTTTCAAAGTGCAATAATGCTCCACAACAACTCCCTAGAGGAAGAAAAAATGATCATACATGACTTTCTTCTTTCCATATTGACATACCTGTCACTTTTTACCCAATAATACAAAAGAGTTCCAACAAGGGGAGATAACAATTTAACTCCAGCAAATTGGTAACAAGGGGGTAAAATAAGCAAAAGAAAGTTATATGAAGTGTCCAAATCAGTTATTCCTCTTCTAAAAAATATATTAGATTAAGAATCTTCTCTTTTTCTTTAAATATCATAAAAATAATCCAAAAATATGGTAAAAGACTGTTATTTAAAATATGTGAAATTGTAGCAAAATATGGTATTTCAAAGTTAATTTACAGCATGTAGAAATTATTTCCCAAGCTCAATATTTTAATACAGAGTAGACCTTAGATCATTCTTAAAGTAACAATTAATTTGATTTAATTTCAACCTTGGTCTTGAGAGAAACGAGCATCTAAAAATGGCTAAAAATCATTCTCCTTTATTTAGAATCTATAAATAGATGTGTAAAAAATAAAATATTCATTTGAATTAAGTTTTTACTCATTAATTGTGTTAATTGGACCATGACTTTGAAAATAAAATAAAATTTGAAATTAAACTGATGAAAAAAGATAACTTTTCGACTTGATCAATTTGTATACATTTTCCATTAAATTTTGTGTGATTTTCCACAAATATGCAAATGAGCTGTTACTAAAAATAGATGCAGGGTTCGACATTTTTTTGTGGATATTCTGACTTCTATCTTTATGTTGAAAATTTTAAGGCACTAAAAATTCCCAAGTTGCAACCTTCCATTTGGACGATTTTTTGAATTTTGCATGGTTTTCTCGCGGACTGGCTCTTAAAACAATAATTATACACACCCAATACCTATTGTTCCTAAAATTTATCTTATTTTACTTAAACAAATTAAAACACACTAGTCTTGTCTGTAAATTGGAGACAATGAAATGAAAGTGATTGACTGATTCTCACAAACTGGATAATTTTGTAACAGAAAGTAAGTATGCTGCAAGTGAATCAATTTTTGTCATATTCATAAGATAATTTTATAATTTTGCATTTATTCGACCGTGGATAAGCAGTTTGAAGGGGGGGGGGTGCGTCTTAAACAATATTTATTGTTCAAAGTAAATTTTATAATGTTTGATTAGTAAGATTTATAAATGTCTAAGTCAATTCGTAGTCATTACTTTTCTTCCGAATTATTACTATTAGCTTCAACTTGGCTGCCGACAATAGTCGCGAGAGTATTATACAAATCATGCATGTTCTGATGTAGCAAGTTATTACCTAATTATTTCTGTCAACCAAACGTTGTTCCCAGCCTTCTCTTTTTAATCACTTTATCCTTAGACTGTAGAACAATCAGTTTTTGTATGTTTGTAGACGCAACCGACTTGGAGCAAAATCGTTACCGGATATTTAAAACGCTAACTAAAAGTCAAACCAATATAGTTAAAAAAATCACATCTCGGGAAAAGGTTTTACTATTCGTAAATGACGTTGTGCGAGTGTAGACCTACTTTAAATCGAAATCGAGGGAGAGAAACAGACTAATGCTTTAACTGACATTTGGATTTGCAAAATACAAAAAAAAAAACAAGGCTCCAATTAAAACAAGAGGCCCAGGGGCCACATCGCTCACCTGAGCAATTGGCTAGGAAAAAGCACAAATCAGATCAGAGCTGAAAGTTTTTTTTTTGGGGGGGGGGGGGGTGGGCTTGAATTTTAACCCCCCAGGGGATCATGTTTTGAACAAACTTGAATCCACAATACCTGAGGATGATTCCACATGAGTTTCATCTTTCCTGGCCCAGTGGTTCTTGAGGAGAAGATTGTTAAAGATTTTTCCTATATATTTCAATAAAAAACCTTGATTGGCCATTTTGGCCCCACCCTACACCCGGGGGTCTTGATTTGAGCACATTTGAATCTACACTATATGTGGATGATTCCACATGAGTTTCATCTTTCCTGGCCCAGTGGTTCTTGAGAAGATCTCCCCTTGGAAAAGGGCGTGGCCCTTCATTTGAACAGATTTGAATCCCCTTTAACCCAGGATACTTTGTAGCAAGTTTGGTTGAAATTGGCTCAGTGGTTCTTGAGAAGAAGATGAAAATGTGAAAAGTTAACAACGACGACGACGACTACGACGACAACGACGACGACGACAGACAACGGACACATTTTGATCAGAAGAGCTCACTTGAGCCTTTGGCTCAGGTGAGCTAAAAAGATAACCATTGGCGTCGTAACAAGGGAGGCTAGCGGAGGGGGGGATTCAGTCCCATAGTTTTTTTTTTTTCAAACGATAGAAATCATATAGATAATAAACATTGGGACGTATGTAAACACCCCCCCCCCACCCACACACACATACACACACCCTCATGCACTTTCAAAACACACGTTGCAGTTCAGTTAAAGTTTAAAGAAAGGTAAGTCGTAGTGTTTGAAAGATAAAAAAAATGGTCATGAAAGAACTTCAATATCCCCAAACCCCAATCCTCACCTTGATTTACATGTAAGTAGAAAAAATGACACCCTTTATTTTTAGATTTATGTCTACACAAAGTTACAGGTAGATTTAGGTACTCAGTAATATTTATTTAGATTACTGAACAGATTAATCACTTTTCTATACAAGATCGTGGGTAACAAATATAATGAACTGAGCTAATATAAATTTATAGGTCCAAATTCACAGAAATAACTAAAGAACTAATTTTATTTTTTTTTCTAGAAAATCAAACTTTCTTACTTGGTTTTCTGTAAGGTTTGTTGTCGATGATGTAAATGTCGTTGTGTGGATGTAGACCTATACAGGATCTCACGATGTCAGGTCTCGCTCCACCAAAGTATCTCCAGAGCCACGTCACGTGATCTACACTGTCCTGTGATCTTCCTCTGTAATGTACAGCCTCCCCTTCTCTTCTTAGTACCGTTAGAAATTTTTCTCGTTCATCTTTACTGCTCTTGATTTTATTTTCTGGGATATTTACTGTAAAAAAAATATACCGTTTATAATAAACATTTACACTGTAATACAATTATGTATATATACATGTGTATAGGTAGAGATACATTCAAATTATAGATTTATTAAACACGATCAGTTACTTCTATTATAATATGTTAATCTAGTAGCATTAAATTGTAATCGATGAAGCTAATACAAAGCAACAAAAAAAAAAGAAACTGATTTAAATGTATAAATGTTTCTACCGATAACTTTTTAACTCTTTAAAATGTAATCCAATTATTCAAATAAAATTCTGGAAGAAAATTATAACAATTTACAATTATTTTACCCTGACTTACATATCTGGTGTATTTCATCGTATATCTCCGTGCCCTTCATGGTGACGTGAGTCAGTACGTTTATCTGTAGACGGCGTATCAGTACGTTATCACTGCCATGCCAGTTACCAATGACACACTTCTCTCCAGGTTTTCTCTTGTATCTCCCTGATCTCAGGTACACACTGATTGAGTCATAACTACTGCAACAGAATGGTAAAACACTGTTTTTTGATGTTATCCTATACATTGTCTCATCCTTTGTGTCCTTTGTTATCTTGTCCTGATCTTCCCAAAGGTAATCACGTGACTTCAGTCTCTCCAGAGTCTGCTGTACCTCCTCACGTGTTACAGGATTCTTTTTATTATACACTTTCTCTCGTATCACATTAAACAAGTCCAGCCACTCTGTGTCAGTGAAGTCAGGAGGACCGGAGTCAGAACACAGAAAACAGAATAACACGGACACCTCGTCATCAGTCAGTGTGGAGAACTTATCTAAAAATATTACGAGTAACTACTAATACATGCAGCACTTCACACATAAGTATCAGATAAATATTATTTTATAGCCTACTTGGTAATGGTGCTTTGTAGTTATTGTTCTCAATTCATAGTATTCCCTGTGTGTTTTACTTATGAAGGCATTTTTTAAACAAATACATGACATTTATTGCAACATAATTATAATAGTTTTGTTCATGTTGTTAGTAATGTACATACTAGTTAAAATAAAGGTGATCTCTTTGTAAAAAAAATTTAGTTTACAGACCCTGAGACGTGCTACTACCCCAAAAAAGCGTGTGACTTTCGTGCGCTTTCCGTTTCGTGCAAACCGTGTAGCGTTTCGTGTAAACCGTGTAGCGTTTCGTGCAAACCGTGTAGCGAGCGTGCGAAAAGCGTGTGAGAAACGTGCGACTTTCGTGTAAGAACCGTGTGAGAAACGTGCGACTTTCGTGCAAGAATCGTGTAAGATTCATTCGGAAGTCATTTCATTTTAAATATGGCCGTCGATGGGTCAGGATTTAAAATTCTATTAGTCTTTTATTATTGAATTAGTTATGCTTGTGATATAATAGGAGTAAAACCAAAAAAAAAAATGGAAAAACAAAACGAATTTAAGCGGTAATGTATAATTTATATTTGTTTGATTTCTTTTCTTTCCGAAGAAAATGTGTTTAAATTAATCAACTATGTACAACAATTTTAAGGGCATTGAATTCAATATAATAATCAACGCGATCATGGCTTCTAAAAAAATTTTTTTGCTCAAAGAAAGACAGAAATACCGGTATTATTTTTTTTTAATTTAAAGCAAAATATATCAGGACTCCGCTGTTGTCTTTACATTTGAAACGATGTGTCATTAAATACTTTTTAATACATAAAACTTGTTGCTCATTATTTTCAAATAAATGGATTTTATAATTTTAGCACACATGCGCTGACGACCACATCTTTATAAACGAAGGGGGGGGGGGTAAATTAAATTCTTAGTACAGTCTTTCATTTTTTGTTGTTACTTTCAATCTAATGTTAGTTTCAGCAGACGCTTAATTTTCTATTCTTTTTTAAATTCTTTGTTAAACATGTTAAATGTGTGCGCAGATACACCCCTTCAAATTGTATTGGAGTCTTTTTTCCGCGTTTCAACTGTGATCAAGGTCATTTACAACAGCGATCACGGGCTCCGAGTGCATGGCACATGAAAACAGGTTTTGCTCTTTGTACATGTTGAGTTCACGGCTTAACGACACCTGAAAATTACGACTGGATTTTTTTTTTAAATAAAATGGTTATAAATATTAAATGGGTACAACTTATAAATCAGCGGATTTCATCTTTTATTTGTACATCCGAATTTCTACCCGTAAACAGTAAAATAAACAGAATTGATTTGGTAGTCTTTTAATGAATATCATGTAAGAAAAGCTTAGGAGTAAATCATGAATAATAAAAATTGTATATTATTTGTTTATAAATCACGTACTTTTTATTTCATCTGAGATATTTCAGTTTTCTTGTAACATACCTGAATGCCGGTGTAAAGATCGATCTATTTTGTATGTACAATGTATAGTCAGATGCCGTGACTATTAATAAATGTACACAGATATTTTTATAAATATATACGCTTAGTCCTGTTTTGAAATGAAGGATTTTACAGTACAGTGTATGATGGGTATACTGATGTTATTTGATGAGCTTTATGTAAAAAGAGAAAGAGAATAGAATAGATTAATAGATCACATTACCCCCCCCCCCCCCCCTTACGGTTTCCCTCCTATTGATAATGGTTGCGTAAAATAAAAAAAATCTTTAAAAATGTATCAATAATCGTTAGTAGAGTATATAGGCAAATTTTATAACTAATTTAAAATAAAAATCACGAGAAATACATGTACTCCGCCTACGGAAATCAAACTCAATATTATTAAATAAGAAGTAAGAAATCGAATTTGTGTTTAATTTATTAAATTATACTCGTAAAAATATTACATTAAAATGAATGACTAATACATGTGTAAAAATTGTATTTTATTAAACAGTCATTCATGATATCGGCATTTCATTTTTAAACAGTTGGATTAATAAATAAATAATTTAATTCGAACTGACAATTATTTATCAATTAATTACAACTGTTGGAGTATTAAATATTTCTATTGGTTTATATAATACAAGTGTATACTGAAATTTAATTTGAACAGCTGCTTAATGTAGCTTTGTAAAAGATTTCCATTGAATTAATGATGAAACGGTTATAATGCCCGAGATATTCCGAGTAGAAAAATCCAAACCGAGGCCAAAACGTGCGAGAATCGTGCACAAAGTGTGTGAGAAACGTGTACAAAGCGTTTCGTGCAGCCTTTCGTGTAAACTGTGCAGCCTTTCGTGCAAAGCGTTTCGTGTAAACCGTGTAACGTTTCGTGCAAACCGTGTAGCGTTTCGTGTGAACCGTGCAGCGTTTCGTGCAAACCGTGTAGCGTTCGTGTACCGTTCGTGCAGCGAGCGTGTGGGGTAGTAGCACGTCTCAGGGTCTGTATATGTCTTTAGTTCTTATCCAATAAACGGTTATAAACAGTGTACAAATATGTACATTTTATGCGGCATAATAACATACAGACAAAATACGAGAAAGCAGATAAATAACTGAGAAATTCCCTCGCAGAATTAGCCCCTTCCTTCTCTCTCTCTCTCTCTCTCTCTCTCTCTCTCTCTCTCTCTCTCTCTCTCTCTCTCTCTCTCTCTCTCTCTAAATTCCGGAGATATGGTTTTGTTAAATTATATTAATAAACTACTTTTATTAACACTTTCCCAAAAAATGAAAAGCAATAACATATGAATCAGTTAAATCCAATGTAAATCTTTCCTATAGGGCTTTCATGTATACCTACATGTACATTTGTAGGCTACATGCACAGGTACTTGTGGGCAGGACACCAGGACACCCCAACCCCCTAAATATTCCACCCCGGGGCTTGTCGAACATTTTTGTTCACAAATTATATTAATTACACTTATTCACCATACATTCCATAGAAAAAAAAATCGTTAAAACCCTAAAATAATCGATCCACAAAACAAATATCCACTATACATTATAAGACAGATCTCTCTTATACTGCATTTTGGGTATTTTTTTTTTTTTTTTTTTTGTGGAGCGATTATATTTGTGTTTTAATGATTTTTTTTCTATTGTACTCATGATGATTAAGTGTTATAAATATAATTTGTGAAAAAGATGTCCAACAAGCCCTAGGTGGAATATTAAGGGGGGGGGGGTGTGTTCTGTCCACAAGTACCTGTGACTACATTGTTATCAGTCCTAATTGATGCCAGATATATTAATTCACCACACCTGGAACATGAAGGGGCTATAGATTTCCACCGAGTCCGACCGTTTGTCCCTTTGTATGTCTCTCTGTCAGTCAGTCAGTCTGACCTTTTTGGCAATCTTTACATTTTGTCTAAACATTTGTAGATAGTCTGATGCTTTGGTATCTCAATGAAAATCCTAAGACGTGCGTCTACGTGTATACCACTTGCATTGTACGGTATGTTTTGTTTCATGCAACGGTTTATTCATTTTGTGAACGGTGTTTGTGCTCGGTATACAAATTAAATATGCGGTGCATATACGCAGTAGTACTATTGACAAGTTAACAAAGTCGTTTCTATTTCTTTTTATCCCCCATTTTCGCGAAAGCGAGGGGACATTAAGTATCATTCGTCTGACAGCCGGTCTGTCTGTCTGTCTGTCTAGCTGTCCGACCGTCACAAAAACGTTAACCTAGTTTATAACTTTTGATTTAGTGGAGCTATGACTTTTATATTTTACATGTAAATTCCTTGTGAGAAGACCTTTCTTTGGGTACCACCAAATTTGACCTATTGACCTTGACATTGGAGTTTGACCCACTTTTACACAAAATTCCAAACTTTTAATAAAACCATAACTTTTGAATGGTAAATAGTAGGACTATCATATTTCGCATATTTAATTTTTGTGACAGGTCCTTTCGTTTTGTGAATTTTATGGCCCCAGGGTCAGGGAGGTTAGGACAGGGCTTTTTTTATCATAACGTGAAAATGCATGAAATCTTTGAAAATCTTCTTCTCTACTTCTGGGTATTTAATAAACTATGTAAGTACATCTATTAATCATGTTGAGCATGAGTGTCTCTTCTATAATTGTGAATTTTATTGCCCCAGGGTCAGGAGTTCTAGTGTTAGGGCAGGGCGCTATTTACCTTATAGTGAAAATGCATTAATTCTTAGCAAATCTTTTCCTCTGCTCCTGGGTATTAAATAAACTAAGCAAACTAAGTACATTGTACATAGTTACGATAAGCAAGAGTGCCTCTTCCAAAGTTGTAATTTTATGCTTCCAGGATCAGGGGTTCTGGTGTTAGGACGGGACTCTCTTGTTTATATAGTGAAAATACTTTAAATTAATTCTTTGATATTGGCTTTGTTCCTGTGTCTTATGCCAATGATCCAAGTTTATGTATTTATAATGAAGAATGATGCATCGAGTAAAATGGTTATTTTTAAGCCCCCGCCCTCCTTGGTTGGAGGTGGGGGGGGGGGTTACATAGTCTGAAAATACATTATTGCCCTTAAACATGCTCTTTGGTATTAATCAACCATTTCAATTCAATTCTTTATTGGAACTAAAGCACAAATTTATATACAGAAATGTGTTGTTAGCCATATACATGTATTGCAAAATATTATACTATTGTAAGCTTGTTTCTAATATCAAAACAATCCCTGATATATAAACAGATTTGTTTCGAAGATATAAAGTTATGTGTGAAATGGAAATGGGTGTAGTTTAGTTTCGTATAAACGTTAGACCTACGTTTTCAATTAATTCATAAACACTAAAAAATATTAATTGTGTGATCATACAAGTAGTATGAATTTGCCAATTTACGGAGACTGCTCTGAAGTAATACACGCTATATTAGAGTGTTTTGATACCTCTCAGGGGACGGTGTGTGAAATAGACTTCAGCTGTGTGTCGTCTTTTACATTGTATTATGACCTGAATAAGGCATACAGTTGCGTAGGGCACAAAGCTGAGACTTTACAATAACCATAACAGAAGACCTGAATAAGGCAGTTTTTTGATTATAGAGAGAGGTGGCATACCACGGATAAAGGTGGGGGTTGTACCAAGAGGCAGTACTATTGTGGAGTGGCAGAATACGAAGAAATTTACTTGCGGGAGACACTCGTTGGCCACAGTTAGTGGCTGTCCAATCAAGAAGAAAAAGTCATTGTACTGTTTGTATATATTTGTGTTAATAATCGTATTGGTCAACAAAAACCTGAGTTAACAGGTTAACAAACCTGAGTGTAACGCCTCGGTAATACAAGACATATCACCACACAATTCCAAGCTTGGCCGCGTTGCACGTTACATTATTTGGTGGCAAGCGTCGGGATTTTGTTGACCATGGATTCACATAAGAAAGTATCAGAAACTCTAAAGTGGATGGAGAAGAGAAAGGATGAGAACGCCAACCAGTGACGTTGGTCAGACAAATGCGGCAAGCCAAGAGTCTGGATATGCAACACACAGTACTGATTATCAACCGATCGGTATGTCAGGAGATGTGTCATTTGAAGAGTACGGCGCACGGCCTAAAGTTAGATTTTCAGACGAAGGTAAACCAAGCTGCAGACAAATTGCTGGGGTGGACGACATTGTGACAGGCCATGTATTTGACACGCCAAAACCACGGAGGCTGTCAATAGGGACAGACAATGCGAAGACAGTCCATATTATAAAGCCAGCCACATATGACGGAACCAGTTCCTGGCTTGACTACAAGTCACATTTTGAGGCCTGCGCTGTTGTAAACGGCTGGACAGAAGAAAAGAAAGGTCTTTACCTAGCTGTATCACTGCGTGGCCAAGCACAATCAGTGTTAGGTGACTTGCCAAGCGATACTGGACAGCACTATAAGACCCTCGTCAGATCCCTTGAGGAGAGGTTTTTCCCTCCAAACCAAACAGATCTGTATCGTGTTCAACTTAAGGAACGAAGGCAAAGAGCATCTGAGTCAATACCAGAGTTAGGTCAGGCCATTAGACGATTAAGTAATTTGGCCTACGCGTCAGCACCTGCGATGTGCGAGAAACTCTGGCCAAAGATACGTTCATAAATGCCTTGGTAGATTCAGAAATGAGGATCCGAATCAAACAATCTCGTCCTCAA